ATCAATCCAGCTATATCTATAGTAGAAGTACTAAGTATAGCAGTTATTATAAAACAAAACATCGTCAAGATAAAACAGAAAATGCTTTCATCTCCGGCATATTTGTTTCAACATATTTACAAAAATAGCGGATTCTAAGAGAAAGTGCCATTAAATATTATTAGATTTTACGTTCATATAAATACGTTTTATATTTCATTAACGTGTCGTGTCCTAAAAAGAATTACACATAGAATATCCTTAATACATTTCAATTGTCTACATATAAGCATTATGTATAAAACTCAGTAATAGAGTACAGTTTACAACAAAATAAATACGCAAGTCCCTGATAAAATATGTTAATAAATTCCATACGAAGTATTTATAATTGTTAGTAATGTTGTATGACAAATATGTAAATTGTATCCGACGTCCTTGCTTCAGGAAGTTGCGGGAAACACATTTACCGTATACGGTGACAAAGTTTGCTAAAGGTTTTTTGCTCATTCCATATTAAGAGGTCTAAGAAAAAACTTTAAATCGGTCGTCTTCAAAGTAGGTTATTCCAGCAACATTTTATGTAATACTTTGAAATAGTTTTTGTTTTTATTTTATATGTATAAAGATAGAAATTAAAATGTACATAAGTTATAATATTATTTTAACATATGGGTATAAATATATTTAATAAACTTGATTCTTGGTGCGTCGTAACAGCCTTATATTTGCATACCTGGTAACATCGATGTTATGTCATATCTAATATTAGAAAATTAACTAATTTTGTATATTTTTTTTTACTCCTAAACACATGAGACATATGTCAAAAATATTTGAATTATTTCGTATATTTCTTAAAACATTGCGCTATTTTAATTATATTAATCACGCATTTTATAAATTCTTACTATAATACCTAACTCGAAACTATTTCAAACTAAAATTTTCCTCAAAAAGAAATCTATTGAGTATCAAATTCAAATCATTCAATAAATTTATATTAATTAATAATTATTCAAAACAAAAACAATACCTCATATGAACGAAAACAAACGGCACGTGGACTTTCCAAAATCACACTTGTATACAAAACTCCATACATTGAGACACGGTAGTATCAAATGTAACTATTACTACTATAATAAATCACATCACTTGCACATTCACTGGCTTTTCATTCAGAAAAGTGAGTACATCGGATCGGAAAATTGGCGTGTTATCGATAGAAGACGCGCGACCGACAGAGCAGTGCGACTGTCAGAAGCAAGGCTCGTGTTGTAGTGGGGGCACCGAGGATCACGGTTAATACGTGAACGACTTATTTATGTTGGTTATCAAGCTGTATTAAAACAACCATGAACCGACTTATGTTATAGTTTAGGGATAATGAAGCAAAAACATACCAATACGATTTTGTGAGAGGTATAAATAAACAATGCTTAAATAGTCTGCGTTTTAAGATTATGTCTCAAAAGTTGTTTATGGATTCGGATCAACCATTGACGATTTTATTACTTATAGAGGGCTATGTTACACATAAATTATAACATGTTATTTGTTTTTGCATTTGGTTTCGACACTAAACCCTCTGAATTCTTGTAAGAAATACAAATACAAAACTTCGTTTCTAAAAAATCCTTAATTATTACGCAACTGTTCAATAAGCGCTTACAGCCATTTTTATCTACAATATTAATGGGATATTCAACATTTACATAATGCAGTAATTTCGCTTAATTTGTATACTGAATTTCAAAATCGAACCAAGTAAGTTTTGATCTAAATTAATTATTAGGAGGCGAGGTGGGAGGACTTGCTTCCAGGCAATTCACTCTTAGGGCCCAGATGCATACAAATGAGGCGTAGGCGCCGCTCTACATGAATATTATCGCTTATTTCGTAACATCAATTACTAAACATCGTTTAGTAACAGTACTTATATTTTACGTATCCTATAAAATGTTTGCTAAATACATTTATAATGAATAATGTTCGATTACGCAATGATATGGTTTGAATCGTAATGAGAAGTTTTTATCAGAATCATCATGAGTCACGGCCTCGTCAAGTTATATACACAGCTGAAACAATAAATCTTACATCAATATAAAATTTCATTTATTTGTTCGCGTACTATATGTAGCCATTAACATATATCTACAGAAAATATATAATAGAACGAAAATCTTCTTTATATATTATATTTTTTACATCGGAACATAATTAAAGACCGTAAAGATCGGTATTCGGCGGAAAATTGCCTCTGCATCTTTTAACGTCGCAGACAGGTATTCATGGTTACGTTTTTGACATCGGCGACCTTAATTTGTCATTGATATTTATAGTTTTACCTGAGAACAATTAAACGATCCTAATACCGGATTTCAATACCAATTAAATGAAAAATATACAAAGCATATATTACATTCCTTCATTAAAAAAATTGTTTAGCAGTTCTTTGAAAATGTGCAGATAATTTGCTCTACTATAAAAACTATAAGTTGCGTAATATGAAAGGGTATCATTATCACCATAACAGGAGCATAACACTTTAAACTCAAACCTGTATTGTTCTAGCTTAAGTAATAACTACGCATAATAACAATTATTTGCCCGAACCCTGTTTATAAAACCAACGTAATGCTTCGAAATATGCTATAATTATGATAATAATTACACCAAGCCGATCGTGTTTCTCGCTTAATTGAATCTGCCCCTACTTAATACGGTTCAGTGGACATGCGTCTATCACCCACTTGTTGACAGATAAACAAGCCGATACATACGTAAATATTCTTAACATAGAATTTATTAATAACATACCGTGTGTTAAACTAAGCGGAACAAATTATTACATTATACCTAACTCAATACCATCTATTATTTGATTGAAACATATAACTAAATAGAAATATGTCAAAAGTCATTCATGTCTTTTGCAATTATATATTCGGCCTTCAGATTTTTGATCTCCTGTTAAGTAGCGTTGAACGTTGGTGGCAAAGGCGTATACTATAAACGAAATCAAGTGCTAGCAAAATGTTCGGCAAATGATTATATACTATTTAAATAGAAGCGTGGGTCTAACTGCGAATTTGGAAGTGCTTATCGACTATAAAGACTACATTATTTAAATGCATGATTCATTTTCACGCTCAATAAATATTTAATAGGCACTGTGGCTCCAAATCAGTTTTTTTTAACAACGCGATATAACTATCCATCATATATTGTAAGTACAATAATTTATACAATAAAATCTTAATGTTTAAAATAGAGTTATAAAATCTTAATTCTGTATGACAACAAAGGAATGTTATATATTTAAAGTAAGTTTAAATACATAGAAATGTAAAAATAAATTCTTTTCCTCTGTTTATATCTTTATAAATATAATGTTTGATATACAATAGAATAGAACATAAACATGTTATAACTACTATTGGATGTTTCAATCATATTCTTTTGTAATTAAACGCCTATAATGAGGTCAATAAATATTTGGAACAAAAGGTAACTGAACTGTATTCAAACAAATGGAGTGCAATGCAATTATACATTTACAGGTTTTATTAGTGTTTTATGTGACTTGCTTTATTTCTTAAATAAATGTGAATAGTATAATTAATAATTATCCATGATCCTTCGTTAGATTTATAATGTATGAAGAAAAATTTAAGACGCAAATGAAGTAGAACTATTACGTACGTGTTTCATATGCACACAATACATAATTTCTTCTCGTTATTCAATCATAATGTTATGTAAATTTTGATATGTTTTAAACTACTAAATACACTACGGAATGTAGGTAATACCCTTTGTTCAACCGCAAGAAGTAAATGGAGTTCTCCAGTTCTACGACATTTCGAGTTTCCATAATATCGTGATTTTATCTATTCTTAAATCGCAACTGTGAATAGTTTTAACCGCAGAAGACATTGTTCGACTCTCCCACACATCAAGTTTAAGTTTATGGTCGAAAGAAACGTCGTTGTGAAAAACGTTCACGTAATCTCACAATTGTATGAACATACTAATTAATTGAACCGAAATTATAATTTTAATAATACGCTTTGATTATACAAAAGCATCATTATAATGCTCGTTTAGTTTAATTAAACTGAATTTTATATTTAAGGTAGGGAAGGTAGTTTTTTATATTACTTTCGATATACTCAATTATTGGCCATACCGTGTTTCCAAATATAGAACGTACGTAGTTTTATTAGATTTACGAAATTCGTATTTGTAAATGCGATTAATCAATCATATATTAATTAAACTATATGACTGTGACGGCATATATTATACTGTGCGAGCACAGAGTTGGTGTTAGTATATATTGCTAGGATAATCACAAGTCAGAACTTCAGGCCGTGTGCACAATAACGTCACGAAGTGTAATCAAAGAAGGATCGGCAGTTCGGTGCGTCGGCGTCGACCGATATGGCGATCACGTTCGCGATACAACGCAATAAAACTTAACAAGGAAATCTGTGTGTGTCACTGTACATGGGATAATAGTCACCGTTTTTGCACATGTTCAGTACAATCAGCGATTACGACAAATTGATAACACAAAGGATATTTACCGAACAGTTATTGTCGACGGCTTTCCTGTTAGTGTTCTGGCCTAGTCAGTACTACAACTGAATAATTTTAGACCATTTGTTCTATAAGGATTTTAAATAAAACAGGTTTTTTAATTTGATACATATATTGGAATAAAATACACGGATATTATATATTTTATATATACCGATATAATATATTCCCCTTAAATAATTAAATTGTTTTAAAGGATAATTTGTTAAAATCGGTTATAAGTCATCAGCGCCATCTTTTGTGTAATAGAGATATTGAATAATGTTTACATTATCAAAAGATGGCACTGTTACAAAACTGGTTTTTGTCTTAATTAGTATAGATGGCGTTACAAGCTCATTTTAGATACAGTGGAATGTTTCTGGGACCATTCACAATAGTACATGCATTAATAAAATCAATCAACAAGTTTAATTTCTTTTTTTAGCACACAATAAAGCGTGTTTTTTGTTCAGAAAAAATGCGATTGCAGCATTAATAAAGTAAGTGGAAACACAAACAATGCAGAAATCACGCAATACGAAAATCAAAAGGTAAGCTAGATAGACGCAAGTTAGCAGCGAGAGCGCAGATAGACACAGTTGGAGTCTTACTACAAAAATCTGGTTGAATGTACCTGAAAAAGGAAAAAAATATACTTATAAGTACTTACTTACTATACTTACAGGTACTTATAATTTTTTTCATATCACAGAATTTTATTAATAAAATTTTAATATTTGTTATTTAGTACGTTGCATCAAAACGTATTTTGATAATAAGAACGGCATGTTTGTCCTAGCAGAAGGAGATTACTGACAAGGAAAATTCTCTACGGTCAGATTATGATATAACTTTTTAATCCACATCGACTTGTTACATACCTTAAAATCGTATGGGTCATTTTTTAAGTTATCAATAGCACAAACAAACAATTTTGGGATACAGAATTATAAGTAATATGCTTTTAAGAAAGCCAGCACTCTTAATACCGAGTATTCAGTGTCAGCTTAGGACAACGAATAACAAAAATATAACTTACCGTTAACTCATAATTACCCTAATTAAAACTATAATAGTTTACACTTTGCGTGCTTAAAGCTAGTAATATTAATTAACCGAGAATAGAAAAAGGAATAAATGTTAGGTACATTCCGTTCTTCAGACAGCTACAAGTCACTTTTAAATTAATTGCTACAGTAATCAATTAATAGTCTAAATTCCATACATTCAGCTACGTTGGCAACTACAGAATCAATTTGACGTCTCGTATGGCATCCATTGACTTTTATTACGATGTAAATTTAAAACGACGATGTTAGCAAAACAAATTACAACGGTTAAGGATATGGCAATTAGAATTGTTAATTGTGAATGTAATTTTTTAAATGTATAATAATACAGAAACATTTGAGTGAGATGTATGTATTATACAGGAGGTATAGGAATGGTATTATGGCGGTAATTAATGCTAATGTAACGATGTTTTAATTCAAAATAATTTAAAATTGTTTTTTTAAATATCTTTTGTAACAACGTCGTTTTTTAAATGGCCTTTCCGTCAGCCGTTCATCAAGTTTAGAATAACAAAAAAATGTCAAATCAACGATCAGTTTTCCTACTAACAAAACTGACTTATAATTAAAAAACTGCATACATCATCAAGATTAATAAAATGTATAATCAAAGGCATACCTAGTTGAAACATGATAACTCACATATTAAAAAACAAAATATAAAACACGAAAACCCATACACAAAGTTTCGCGGTTTTTCAATCAAATATAAGAAGGTTTTTTAAACCGACTTGTTTTAAGGGTAACTACACAAAATAAAACAAACGTTTACGAGCGTATTTCGTGGCGTTTACAATTTAGCAAGCAATAAATGCTCACGCAATCTCTTCTTAATATATTCAAATAGCTTTTATTGGTTTAAAGTCGTGCCTCTGCGGATCGGAGTGAAATGTGAACTGGCTGTGTGGAATACTCGAGTATCAGATAACAGTTCATCATATAAATTATTACGTATTTAGAAATTTAATACGTATTCTATTTTAAAATAACGGAGTATATTTTGATATAAATTATACTATTATATTTTAATGAATCTGTAACTTACTATATTAGTCAGTAAATATATATCAAGTTATATGAAAATCTCTTTAAATAATAATTGGTTTTTATACGTGGAGTATTTAGAGAAATACATTTGCATTTAGATTTTTCGCATACTAAATACGGTACAAAAATATTATACGAAAAATTTTAACGTAACCTTAATTACTTCAAAAGCGCTATTTTGTACGAAAACGATGTGTGTTTAAAATTTAAAATTGAAAAATTAAAAACACAAAAGTGAGTCTTCCGTACAAATCTTAATTAATTTATAATGAGATGTTATAATAATTTATCAAGAGACAGAAAGAAAGAAAAAAAGAAATTAAATGAAACTAAGATTTTATATCTACAAGTAGCCCATATTTTGATTACTTTTAAGCAACCTTGAAGAACATTAAAAAATAATATAAAAAACGCGTAGTATCCGTAAATTTAAACGTATAAAAGTATAGCTTCCCTACACAATTTAACGACTCATGATCGAATAACAAAACGGCGCCCGATCTCGTCGTTATTCAAAACGATTTTCCCTTTCATAGCTCAATGTACAATTCAATTTGAATTCATCCCAACTGTAAACTTTAACAACGTGAACTACCAAATATAGTGAGATTCGCTTTACCAATCTCTCCCCCGTGATGTCTGAATCACGAGAACTAATCTAAAAGGAATTTTATCATTATAGATCAAATTTCACACCGGTTTTGTATTATTTTAATCATATTTTTGTAGTTAAAAACTGTAATGGAAGTCTTTCTTATTATTCTTGGTTCGACTTGATGGTTTCAACCACAAAATTGTGAGTTTATGAAAGTAAAAAAGCTTGTAATTAAAATGTTTTAACGGTTGGTAAAAAACATATAATATTTATATGCTTTGTTGTAAAATTTAAAAAGGTTTTATATTTTACCGAATACAGTTTATCTCTGTATATTATTATATGCATGTACCTATCTCTTTCAAAGTCAAATAACTACTAGACTACGGGTTTATCAAAATGCTAATTCTAACTATGCCATTATATTGGTTAATTTTAAGTGTTGCTGTTAGTGTCAATAAATGGATTCCGTAAGTATGTATTAATACAATAAGGTATGAATATAACAAATTGTAAATATAGAGGTAAATTAATATATGAAGAGAACTTATTTTGGACTATCATTGCTTATAAAAGGTATAATCAAAGAAATGAAAACATATTACTTAATACGAGACGCCAAGATTGTTATATTATCGCCATTATATAAATCTAACTTATATTCAATATGCTTAACACAAGTTTGCCTCTTTACAGTATACGACGCGTTTCCCGTTTCTCATACAATAACGATTAATGAATAAAAACGGTTAACGTTTCTTATGTAGTGAGTGGACGCGGACTTAGGATAAACATACTGATTCATATTAGTAATTACGACGTATGCTTTAAAAAGATACTTATTTATTCTTAAATGAGGTTTTAGAAAACGTAAAGCTTTTTGATATATGGGAAAGGCGATGATTACAAACGTTTTCCATGTAAAAAATAAAAGAAATAAGTTAAAAGTAATGTAAGTTAACAATTTACGAGCCAAAGTGGTCTCAGGCAGATGTTTTAAAACAACAATATTAATAAATCATGAGATGTTTGAGAATTCCCTTCAAGTATTAAGTAAGTGAGTTATTGACAAGTCATTTAACAACATAAAACGACAAATATGGCGGCACCGTTTACAGAAAATACAGATAAAATAAGTCGATAAAAAAATGTATACTAGAATAAAATTTTGTATAGAACATTTTGATAATGTTCTAAAAAATTTACGTAGTTATGCAAATATATTTTTTATAGTTCATAATAATATTAAACGCATGTACAAAGTTATAGAAGAATATATAAAGTTTTGTATCATTTTCAACTTTATTAATCAATCCTAATAAATCAAAACGTATAATCAAATTACGAATACAATTCCTCTAAAAAGAACGCTTAATAAATTTTATATGTTACAAATAATAAAATTATGGACTTACTCAAAAAAATTATAATACAATAGAAGATAATCCCGTATACACAATTAGGCACTTTGAACAGCGAATCCTGAGACACGAGACCCAAACCCTTGGCGTACCTGTGACAAAAAATCTATTGTCATTCCTTGTTTCATATTAAAAAAACATACTTCGCTGTAGGTATTTTTTTGCTCTTGTTTATTTTAATAATCATTCTACGACAACTTCATAACACGATCTAACATCCGTGAATAATTTGTGAGTTGTATAAATATACTCATTACGTAATAAATATTGAAAATTATGCTTACTAATATTATAAATGCGAAAGTAACTCTGTCTGTCTGTTACGCTTTCACGCCTAAACCACTCAACTGATTTTAATGAAATTTGGTACAGAGATGGAGTTGACCTTGAAAAAGAACATAGGATAGTTTTTATCCCAGACTTTTGAAAGGTTCTTTTGGAAATGCGATATAACCGAACTCCACGCGGGCGTAGCTAGTTGTATAATAATTAATACTTACTTAGATGTTAGTACTTTGGAGCAACTAGCGTGTTCGGATATGTCACACATAGCTTTGTATCCTGGCTTCAAATCCGCTACCAGCTCGACGTACATGGCGTAAGTGGATACCAATATACCAACCAAACCAGCGAATATGATCGCGCGATTCACATTAGCTTCCTTCATTGTTTATAATCTGTGGACATATAAAAAAAAAACACAATTAATATGAATGATTATGATTTATCCTAAATATATGCATAAAAAACCAAAATAAATTAAATTCTCATCTCGTCTGCCTGTGATCATGGTTGCAAAGTAACCGAAACGTCGGGAATATGTAGTTAAAATAATTAAAACCTTACACGGTTTAAAATCTTACAGTTGGTCTTAAACTCTTAAATGGTTTAACTTGCATTATAAAACATTTAGTTAAACACACATATTCCCTGTTATATGTAACAATAAAGTATATATCATTTTCGTTATACTGTCTTCTTTAAAACTCTCGGATTTTTGAAGTATTTTTTTTTCTTTAGTTGTAAAGTGAAATAAAATCAAATTAAGTTCTCATAATTTATTTTTGTTTAATTTGTGTCAATATACTTTTATATGAAACTAATGAAAGCTGAAAGGATAATTTTAAATTAATATTTTAACGTAAATTTTTTCTTTACCTTTATTTAATCTCTATAATGTAAATCTAACATCGGCTTTGTATTACAAAGAAAACTAATCTGATCAAGCCATCATACGTCATTGGCATTTAGTAGAGGCCTTATTTATATAGATCCGATTATTCAGACATAGAAAAATTCAAAATAATTATTTACCAAATTTGTGTTTTAAATTATACGTTATATAATAAAAGAAGTAAATAACTTTGTCTCACAAATATCTTTAATCTTATCATACTCTTTGGCCTTTTCTTATTTATATAAATAAAATATTAAAAACATAATACCTCTCGATACTTGAACTAAGTATATTGAAAAAAAAAATGTAAACAAAAATACTCATCATACTCGACAACTTCGAAGTAGCAAAATATCATTTAAATAATATTGCATTTTTATTAAAGTTATAAGGGGCAATAAAAATGGTAATCCCTGAAATCAATTCACGCGAACCCTTGCTAATCAATTTTGTAGAGAAGGGGCGCGTATGTTTGAAGAACACTATAAAATAATATATAATCCAAGAACACCTATTCCATGCAGACCCTTCCGTGTACGCGAGGCGTTATGGTTAGTGAGTTGTTGAAATAATAAAACTTTAAGTATACTACCACATGTGTTAAAACGTCGTGATATTCGTTCAAAAACAAATAAATACGATAACGTCAATAATTAATGACATATTTTTAATGTTTAAATGATTAAATTAAAGAAATATAAATAAGCATAAATTAATAAAATTAGACAGGCATAACATTGATTAAAATAATTTCGATATGTAAGCATAAAAATTAAAACACTTTTTTAAACACTTCACTCACATTAAGGACTGAAAAAAAACAATTTTTTAAATAACGAACTCCCGCCACTTTTTTTAAATTCTGATCTTTTTGAAGCCAATAGAATGTTAGAAACACAAGTAAACTATATGATCCAAAGCGATGAACTGAAATACAAAGCTCCACCCATCGTGATTGCTCGCTCTTATCAACATAATTAATTTGACAACATTGTCATAAATTATTCATAATTATTATAATCACAACTGATCAGTTTGTAACATCAGGAGATTACGTATGAAGATATATTACCTTAATAACACAGCAATTTAGTAAATTACTGCAACAAAAAACAAATACATATATAACACAATATAATTGTAATGTCAAGTTGTTAATATTTTATAACATTTGAAAATAAAGTTAGAAAATATTATTTTAATATTGGTAGGTTTATTTCTAAAACAAAAAATTCAAATTTAATTAAAACAATAGCTTAACTTAAAAGTTAAGACACAATATTTGAATTTTCTAAATTAATTTTCATTTAATCGATTACAAAATTTTAGATATTAAAATAACTATTAAGACTAATTAATACAAAAATAGTATATTACTGATTTTATAATTTCATTTTTGGAATAAAAAATAAGATTATAGTTTCATAAACTTTTCAAAAACATTTTTTTATTAATTATTATACGTAAAAAGATTGTTAATATTATTAGTATAAATACTATCAGTTGCATATTATATACTTAATTTGGAGAAATAATATGTACAGATATTGCAAAATATTATGTTTCACAACAAAAATTACCCATATTTTAAATCAATTCCAATGTTATCACTTCTATATAAAATAAACTCACATAAAGGCACAATTAGATTTGACGAATATTAAGTTGTTAATTTGAATAAACCTTTTATTCCATATTTTAATAACTGGAACGCAACTTAACAAAATGTCAACATTGTAAACGCAAGAACTTCACACTGAGCGCTGTTCGGTTTGCTAGTTTTATACTACTAGCGCACTCTGTACGTAAAATTTATAACTATTGGACATAACAAAGACATTAAAATGTCCAACATAATGAAAATAATGGTTTTGAGTTGAGTAAATGGTAGAAACTTGAAAATTTAATTTATGTTATATTTTTTCATGGACGTATGTGATACTCCAAAGCAGAAACAAGATATTTGTTTAATAATATTAAAATCTTACCACTGAGAATATTAAAATAGGTCACGAATGCAGTATCACATTTTACGTTAAAGAAAGAGACAGAGTATAAGTAGAAAGAGTAAATATCATCGCCACATTGCCAATGACGCCCGATATCGCGGAATGTGTGTGTTTAAGTTGGTAGTACTGCTTTAGTTCCCCATCGCGACCGCAACGCAGCGTTGGCGTCGTGCAACACCTTTCATTGTATTGACTATTGACTGATTCTGAACACGGAGAATTATGTATAAAACTAATTTATTGTTTAATTGTCTTAGTTCTTGTTAAAATGTAATGTAGTATATCTTAGTGTAAGTGTAATGATGCCTCCGTTTACGTAAAAGTGAAAGAAGTCAGCCCGTCAAGTGCTACGCGGCCATTTTACTTGCAATGCGGCAACGGTGTATGATCCGCCATTGGAAACAGCTAGTGTCTTTTTCTGAGTGCAAGATTTGTATTTAGTCGATTTTTTCGGCATAGAAACAAGGGTTTACCATGTGTGATAAAAGTGTAGTGCGGACTTTAGTGTAGTGAAACACGGTGGTCGGGTGTTTCGAATAATGTGCGAACGATGGAAAACGAAGTAAAGCAGCGCAATCAGAGAAATAGGCGAAGGGAGCGGGCACAGCGCATGCAAGCACAGCGAGAGAGTAAAGTTAAGGATGGGGACAGCGGCGAGGACGAGTCTCCGGCGAGAGAAAAGCCACCTCGTCCTCCAGCCAGGAGGAAAAAGTCGAGGGAGCCCCTCGGAGAGGAGGACATCATTGATGGTTTCGCCATAATGGCATTTCGCACCTATGAGGATCTCGAGGTAAACCAACCAACTAACTCATACATTACACTTGGATAGCCACCAGTCACGATAACTCTACTCTAAACAATAGCAATCTTAAAACGTCATGAAGTTATACCAAGTATACCAATCACATAACCAGACCCAGACTAAGACGTTTTATTTACATTTTAAATTGTAATCTTTTATTTATTTCGTTAGAGACGTACGTTGTTAGTGGTTGTCAATAGGAGTTAAATCGCTGACCACAAATTTATTACGACAAATCACAGTTCATTACAATACTTATTAAGATAGATTTAAATAGTCTATTAATATAACATATTGTCCGTTATCACTAAATAATGTACATATTTGCAATTGTTTATATTGTTATTCCAGTACAAAAAGTAGCTATGTAATCGCCTCGGACATTGTCTCGGAAGTGCATTGACCCAATAAGTGAACCCCAGTGTATTTACGGATCTGAGAGATGAAAACTAAGTAAAAGCGTTACTTCAAATAGATCAACTTCTATTTATTGTGTAATAAGCAGCTGGCAGTTATGCTACAAGACTCGCTGTAGTAAAGTTCATTCGCGGTCTCCCACTAAGTGTAAATTTGGTATAAGTGGCTTTCGCTCGTTTGTGCTCATTTATCGCGCCGCACTCAAAAGTCGATTCAACGATATTCTGTAATTGAATTTTATTTAACGCTGATTAAATCTATAATTCTCGCTATCTTTCTATAACGAGTAATATTGGGTTTTCTGTTTGTTGGCTGTTCAAGGTGTACTCTGTTATATTACAAACGTAAACAGGTTCCGTTGCTCCTATTTAATTCACCACATGCGGTGTGTGCAACGTTTATGCAATTTTCATTTACAATAGCCGTAGGCAAATTTTCTACATGAAACAGGTTTTTTTTGTTAACATTATGACCGCGGATCAACAACATATGGCAAATAAATATGAGGTTTATTCATAATTGTTGAAATCCTATGTTGCAAAAAAATATATAAAATACGGAACAAATTGCCGCCACACCTCCAGACATCCTTTGTTGAACTTTAAAGTTTTTTGTTCTAGCAAGTTCCTTATCTGTCAGTATGTAATTGAATTATGCAAAATTACGTGTACGATATATATTTTTTAATGTATTACGTATTCAAAAAAGGAAAGTGATATTTATTCAGTTATCTAAACGCAAAGCGATAAATACGAACTGTTGTTAGAATTATGTTTTATATAATATAAAAAAAACAAGCATTCTTCTTATAATGTATATAAAAGTGTATCTAACACTAATATCAACATTGTTGTTATCGGTGGGCTAAGCGGTTGTAAAATAAAGGATTACGTTGTACGACTACGGTCATGTCATCTGAAGCCCGTAAAGCGGCTAACTACAAAGACAATAACTTCGAGGCTAATTATTTTCCCACGACAACCTCACAGTGTCCAGTTTCGAATCATGAATCCTATATAGTACAAACAGAAATTCAGAATGTCATTGTTCCACACTCTTATATGATTACGCTACTTGAATATTTATAACACTTAATCTACTTGAAGAGCATTTTTGGCTTTATAAGCCTCACTTAAGAATTTAACAGGATACTTTAATGGAACCTTCGGAAGGTATAATGAAAATTTTATATCTCCACATTAATCTACGTTTAAATTGTTATTAGTAACTTATACCTAATGTAAAGAATAAACAATATATTTAGGTTGTGGATTTTATTGATAAAGGCATAATTTGAAAGTGGTCACTGAACTCGCCCTAGATGGCTATACAAACATTACATTTCATTTAAAGATATTTACAAAGAGAAAACAAAAATACGAGGGTAATATATTTAATATAAAATAAACTTTAAATGGTTTTGATTCGTTTACCAAGCTTTTAGCAGAGAAATTAACTAACGTACGTTAATCGCATAGCAATGCTCTTACGTTGTTAAAGCGGTGATCACCTCCCTGTCCGGGATGCTGTAGTCAAAGCTACAACTAGGCAATACCTGTCAAAGCTGTTGTAGTGAGCGTAACAAGCGTATACTAGCTTCATGCTACAGTATATGCTTGTACAAAATCAATAGCTGTCGCTTTAGAAGACGAGCCACGACGACTCGGAGCAGCGACCGAGTGTCTCGACGCCCCTAGACACCCCTCTGACCCATCCCCTTGCTGTGTTCCCTGGAGCTTAATGTTAGCACACCGTGACATAAATACTTACCTGGGAAAACTTTAAACCTCTTTCTTCCGTTTTTATTACCGCTCACTCCAGCACTTTTTTAATTTACCCCCTGTCAACAACTCGTTTTTAAATATAGCCAGAATGTTATATTCATAATAGTGTGGTTTATTACAAAAACGAGTCTAAACATTGTTTTTTTACTATCGACCTTTATAATACGTTTTATATTGGATATAAATAACGACTATCGTATAAAAACGTACATGATCAGAAAATTATACTTCATAAAGTATATACATATATACAATAAATGTTGTGGTAACTTTAAAGGAAATAATGATTATTTTTAGTGAAAAAAATAGATAAACGTATGTTCTTTATAGAACCATTGTTTGTTAACTACAAATATCTAATTACATTTTTTGTTGTGTCACATATTCATTCATCGTTAAATGTCAAATATGTACCTGGTTTCGATACGTGCAGGTTATGTAATGTGTTAAAAGCATCATTATTATCCATGACTTAATATTTAGCACTCCCAAACTATACAAAAGAAGGTTGGTATTTTATTAATCACCAATTCCAAGCCACGATGCAATACTTTCTATATATAAAAATCTTGTATATAAAATGTTATTACTATAAGCCTTATTTTCAAGAGCGCTATTATGTAAGCCCTAGCTTACGCTTGCAAAAATACTAAATCCGAACAAGCTTTTAAGAGCAACCCACACGACTGCACGGCCGCTGCTTACTTCAAGAATATTGCAGAAAAATTGCTTTGTCCTCAGCGCATAGGGGAAAGTTTTGTACGTTAGTACCTATTTACATTTAAAATTCACGGTTTATTTGAGCAACAGCTATGCAATTTGTAGTCCAACTATGAAAGTATCATCGAGTTTAGTTGTTCGTGATATGAATGGCTTTTTGCTTCATGTCATTTAATATTCTATTTGTCATACAACTGATACACAGAAAAACATACATATAGTAGTTATTATGCGCACTTCACTTATAATAATCCTAAGAGATTTAAGAATCGTTAATTAATCGTTTAATTTTAAAATTGTATATAGCTTATAAAAGTTGACACTTGGAATTCTAATATCTATTTATAATAATGTTATTTCGTTACCGTTTAAGGAAAATATAAACATTCTAATAAATCTACCATTAAAATTCCTTTAATTTCCTGTTACCCGTCGGTATTTGTATGAACGTAATAGAATCCGAAACTTGAATGCTCGGTTGATTGGAATGACTAAAGTTTGGTTAGCTTAGTTGCACGAGGAAGTGAAGGCTTTTTGTCCTCTCCGCCACCTCATTGACAAACATATGTTCCTTTAATAACCTTTACAAAGGAGGTTTTGTAACACCTCGGGTAATGATGTTTGTTAAACGAGCCGTGACCTGTGATTGTGCATATTAATTTACGGAATTTAGTTTGATGAAAAAATTATAGTTTTTATACTCCAATTTTAAAATAACGGGATTCTGATTGGCTCGTTTGTGATATTTTATTTATAGTCCTAATTATTTGGTAGACTTAAATTATAATTAATAAAATACTTTTAAATAAACTTGTCTAGGGTATAAGTGATTTTTAACGGGTTTTTTTAATTCATATTATGTCTTATAATGAAACATTACTCTAATTATACAAATTGAACGAGGAAAGACACGAATTTAAAAACATAATTTATCTTTAAAAGTATAACGTTTATTTCCATAGAACTTATTTGTATTTCATGTATAATTTAGTTAAAAATATGTTAAAACATTACAAAGAAATGTTTTTATCGTTTTTTCATGTTATGTATCTTGTTAAGATCGCCACTTAAATGTTTGAACAAAACAACGTAGCTCCTAATTGGAACTAATAGCATTAGCTCATTGAATGCACTTCGTTAATATAGGTAAACGAAGCATTTGTTTCTGTTGAAAACAAGTACAATGCAATATGTAAAACCTATACATCAAGTATACTAGAAATGATATTATAAAAACAATAACTGGACTGACAATACTTGTACATCAATTATCGTTCGTGAAGTGGATATTAGCGCACATTAGCATTCGGTTTCTGACATTATATAAACATTAGTAATACATCTCACTATTAACAGAGCCATACATACGTCAACGTTAAAGTAAATGTTTACGCTTAACTTAGTAGTAGTTATGAAGTTCAGACCGCTCGTATCCTTTCAATTCAATGACAATACAAATATATGTACGAAGATTGATTATACGGAAATAGATTTGGCAAAGTTTGCGTAGGCGAATATTCGGCTGTGTTTGATAATTTCCCGCAAAGATATCAATATGTTCTGAATAATATAATAGAACTCTCAATATAATATATTTGACTCTTTTTTTTGCTCATAAGATCAATCTAATACGTCCGTAACACATACTCTGATATTCTTTATTGAGCTTTTTTTTAGATTTTTGTTTCGCTATACAAAAAATAAATACTTCGTAGAGAATTATGCTGTTATAAACAATTAAAGTATCAAATAGTGTATATAATATTGTATTTTTTTTTGCAGCAAATACATATTTTTGCTTACCTGTTTTTATAAATATGTACGTGTACACTAGAAACATTAGTAAGTAAGTGGAAGTAACGTAATTCATTTAAATCAATATTCCCGTCTCGAACTTTGCCTTACGGCCTCATAGGAATTAACTCGGTTAGTTTCAAAGAATGTTAATCACGACCTCATTTTACAATCGGTATGTCGAACTAGTGCCGAATTAATTTTACCGGCGTTGCGATTTAATGACTTGTTTAATGCTATGCACGTTAACATTGTTGAATCTTTAGGATTTCACATTACATAGCTTAATTATTTATTTATATTCCGTATGAGCGTCCGTACTACATACTAATAATATTATTAAGCTATGCCAGTAGAGTATAAATATATTTACGACATGACATTAAAGAAAGAATTTTCAATCTGATAAATAGTTTTACATGAAACTATATCAATATGTACTTTCTCATATTAAAGTTATCTTTTAAGGTCTGAGTAATATCAATAAACCAACCGTAGCAATGAAAAACAAATAAATCCCATTTGATTTTAAAATTATTGAGTATTTCAACGTTTGAATTCCTTTTAAACCTGGATTATTGAAAAGGATACTTTTAGTACCTGCTATTATTATCAATTAGAACTTTTAAAACAAAACACTGAAAAAAAGCAACACGTCATTTCTAAGAAAAAGAGAGCATTTATAAGTCAGAATTTTATAAACTACATATTTATTTTGATCGATTGAAAATAATTCTAGTTTTATAACAGGCTGACAATAATAAAGATAGAATTATTGACATATTTTTCGTTATAGTCTAAAAGAAACATGAATAAAATGTCTATTATTGATAGTTATAATTTAAATGAAATATGTTTTCGTGTTAGGGAATACACAAATAAAAATATCTACATAGATTGTATCGTATCACTTCAATGTTTACAAGGGTAATAGTTGAAATAGGGTTCTTCCGCCCACACGGGGCGGCATAGGTGGCGACATAATCGCTCCACGACACGCAACTGTCCTACTGAAAGCATTTTTTAAAAATATTCCAATTAGAACCCTCTTATTTAATTCCCCTGTTTTAAATCCCTTTCCCGATATAGAAACTACAGCAATTTGAAAAGTAATTAATCAACTATTACTGCATTTATTACATTGAATGCAACAGATTTTATTTGTTTATATATCGTAATGGCAATTGAATCTTATATATAAGTTTTAATAATGATGTTGTTTATAATGAAATTATTCTCTGTTTATTTTTTTATCTAATTTAATATTAAATACATTAGTGTGTCAATGATAGTATGGTGTAATCAATCAGTGTTTATATTATTAAAGGCCAAATGTTACATGGACAAATAGATTTTATTATGTTTAGATACACAATTCAATATTACATATTTGTAGTACAATGGAATAATTTTACTTGAATAATCTTTTTTCATTTTACTGTATAACAAACAAAACTTGCTCACTATTTTAATAATCGTTTTTTTTTTTTCAAAAAGCTATTATGTAACGGTTGCTTACTTTGGTTTCTTTTGTTAAGATGTCTATTGTATTTCACTTTAAAAGAAGGTATACATTTCTATTCAGTGGTCTTTGCTTGAAAATTGTAATCCGAAACTAAAGCCTCTTATATCCTAGTTATAGGGGGAGTGAAGCATTTCTCTTGATAAGTTAATTATGTGCTGTAGTGAGTAGAGGCCCATAATCGTTCATTACCATACAGTTCAGTATCTAATCCGGCGTACTAACCCACGGCCGCTTGTCTGATGACTTAATTAATGACCTGCCGTGTCGCTGTTAATTAAACACCTCTGGCAAATTGAAGTTCAGTTCAGCCCCGCGGCTGCATTAGATTAATATCCAAATGAAATTTGGTAAGGATGGCTAAGTGTTACGGATTCTTAGCTCGGTAGGGATTAGCCTAAGAGTAGTTTGTATGTTGGACATATTAACAAAAACTACTCTATTCACACAGGAAAGTTGTGCAGTTCGATGTAATTTAATGAACCATTCAAAGTAATTGCCTAGTCTTTAGATCACAGAATTTATACTCTGTAATCAAATAATTTATCATCCTTCTTATGAAGCCCATAGACTTTTTAATTATTCTGGTATATCCATAAAAACACGTATTGTGTCCGACTATACCTTATTATTACTTTTAAATTGCCTATTAAATTCAATATTTATTTTTATCAGTAATGCCTAAGACCGTTAATGATGATTATTATGGAATCAACATTTAATATTATCTTATAACGAATACTATTTTATCCACACGTCTGACTATAAAACGCCCGTTTAAACATTGGAATTATAAAATTATGCTAATTAGATGGTAACAAATTGGGTGTAACAGTGTATTAAGAGGTCATTATTTCATAATATTAATATCAGGGCTGTCACATCGGTGATTAATTTGTTGTCAGTGAAGCAATTAGAGTAAATAACAGTCCTCGGCGAGGTGTGACACCGTGTGCCACGTACTAGGTAGGAGCCGGTCGGGTGATTACCTCCCAGCCCACTGAGTTATTGACCGATGCTAATTATTGAACGCCGTCTCCGAACATACCATTACGTTCCATTTAGACTCGACTCTTGACAGCCTAATGGAAGGCTTTAAGTAAAAGTCTTTTCGTTTTGTCTTGACTTGATTAAATAACATCTCTTTATATGTCATTTGAGCGAGAGCTACGCTTTCACCATCATTCTGAACTACATGTATTATTAAAACGTGTGTGCTTGTATTATGTTGTTAGTAAAATCTAAGTTCTATTGTCTCGACAAGTATAGAATTGTACTTGGTAATGGCTATTATAATTAATAAACACAAAAACTATCAATTTGAGATATCTTTATTCAAACAATCAGAATGTCTTATCTATTAAACTACGGATGTTTGATATTGAATCTATCTGATAGTGTTTTTAATAGTAATTTAATGTTGAAACTATACAAAGTTCCACTCACTCTGAATCCATAGAGTATAAATGTTTAATATGAAAACCACTATTTACCCTTGTCCGTACAGAATTCACACCAAATTATCATAAAATATTACGTTACAACAATGTCATATAAAATCTTTTACCAAAGGTTTAATAAAAGCTCAAACAGATAATATAAGCCTTGTTGAATAAAGCGTTTTAGTTATAAAAGCTTCAGTTTATGATCCTCTCTCGTCAATGAATTTTATTTTATATATTATCGGAGTTTTAATGTATGAATATAGTTGTACATTATTTAATAATAAACCAAAATATTAAAGGAATTTATTAAAACTTGGTAAATCACAACTTTGAAAGATTTCATACACAATTCATTTCAGTCTCATAAAAAGTTATCATTGATTCGCAGAAATTTGTCGAGCTATTTTTCTGTCGACGTTTCGTTATCCCGTGGGAGAAATACTTGGATATACATATTCAAAATACCTTTGATATAGTACTTTGAATCGTAATAATATAGTATTATTTTATTAACATTTGTTTAAGAAACATTTTTGTTTATAATCTTCAATAAAGATTTTATAACGTGAAATATTTTAAAAAGCTTCCCAGTCTATTAAAATGAAATATTACTTTATGCAACTGTATTATTCGATGCTTTTAATTAATAACGAAATGAAATTTTGATGAAATATTTCACATAATTATCAATATATAATCTGTTCGCTTTTATTATTTATATTAAACTATTTGTACGTTAATAACACGATATACGAATGGAATTACGTTTATAGAAACCATTAACATTGTAAATATTGAATCAAACGTAAAACAACCAAATTTATAGTGAATTTAAATCATTAAAATTTAAAAGCTTTTATTTTAATAATTACCTTATAATACTTTGCGTAATATTTTTCAGTAATTTGGAAACAAACTGATTTTACTGCCTCTTTAGTACCCTTGATATTTATCTTTATATAAATAATTTATTTTTTCCTTTTATCAACAGGCTGCAATAAAAACCGCTTCATCACCTCGTACTAACGCGCTGTCCACGAAGCCAAGGTTACCATTGGCTGCTCTTGCAGGCGATGCTACCCGCAACCACGCAACCAGCAATGTCAATTCACATGTAAGTTTCATCAAAATATCTTATCAAATTTATAAACCATTAACATACATAAGCGGTTATTTCTTGAAACACAAATATCAAATTTCGTTATTACGAAGGTTTAATATTGTTCAGGTGTACATTAACATAGAATTAGCGTGTCAAAGTTAATCTAAATTATATATTAAATGTGAAAGTATTTACTATCTAAAAGACTTAATAGAAATCAAATATAAAACGAATGCTTTGTTCGAAGTGTATCGTATCGTGCCTGACGTTAATGTAATGTTGTTAGTGATCTCATACATCTAAATGCAGCAAGACTAAATCGGTATGCCATCGGCATTCTTCTTCCGAGCTTTGCTTTCTCGCCAAATGCATGAAAACATAAACTGCCATTCTGCCTGTCAACGAGTTCCGTTTTAACTAAGAAGCATACTAAATACGACACAAGATATATGTCATCATTATAAAGTCACTGAATACATATAAATATAAATGAAAATAAAAATGACATGAATATACTCTTAAGATACATTTTTAATTTTCTTCTTTTAATTTTGAAGTAATCTTTGAATACTTTGGTTGGTAAATTAAAACGAAAACACTTGTTTTTGTGTGAATACTTGATTGCGGTAAAAGAAGCAAGAATGACTGGAGCTTGTGAATCAGAATGCGCTTGAATATTGCAGTGGATAAAGCTGTATGGGATGAGGCGAATTGTGGATAGTAGAGAGCGTGCAGCCGACACGATATTAAAATAAAATGGCTGAGAGTTCAGCATGGCGGAGGCTGATATTACCTCACTATCGTCTATCCACCTATTACACAAGTAAACACGATTTTTGAGTCTGAGTTCTGTGGTGCTGATTTAGATTAATAATGTCTAACTTAACAATAAAAAAATACTTTTATTTGATAAAGTTTGCTTTTGTAGCAACCAGAACGCAATTTCTAATTTTAAGAAAATCTTATTTTTTTAATTCAGTAGAATACAAAGGCAAGAAAAAGAACTTTAATTTATATGTTAATCACCTTTATTTACAAAGAACAATAAAGATAAATCTCCAAATACATAAAAAGAATCAGTAAGAAACTTTAGAAATGAATATTTTTTGTTTTTCTTCTGTGTGAGTAGGAACCTTCTCGTATTAGACTCCAAATGTAGTCACCCATCATATTCTCATTATATTGTCCTTGATAACGTTGTTCAAAGTTTATCATATCTTGGTGAAAGCGTTCTCCTTGCTCTTCTGAGTATGCCCCTAAGTTATCTTTAAACTGGTCTAAGTGAGCATGTAGCATATGTACTTTAAGGGACATTCTGCATCCCATGAGTTTGAAATTCTCAAGCATATTAGAAATGAGCTCTTTATAATTTGCAGCTTTTTTATTGCCAAGAAAGCCATGGATCACTGCTTTAAGGCTGAGCCACGCTTGTTTTTCGTGAGCGTTCAGTAGCTCTGGGAATTTTTCACTGGCCATTATTTTCTTAATTTGTGGACCGACGAAAATACCAGCTTTAACTTTAGCCTCTGAAAGTTTAGGGAAAAAACTCTTTAAGTATTCAAAAGCTGGAGAATCTTGACGAAGAGCCTTCACAAATTGCTTCATGAGGCCTAATTTAATATGCAATGGAGGCATCAAAATATGATCGGCCTTCACAATCGGTTCATTCTTGACATTATGTTTTCCTATCTGGAACTCGATCCGTTCTGGCCATAACTGCTGCTTGTAGTGAAGTGTGTCAGCTCTACTGTCCCATAAGCAAAGATAGCATGGATATTTAGTGTATCCGCCTTGCATACCCACCAGAAAACCTACCATCTTGAAATCCCCTATAACTGGCCAAGCATACTCTTCATACTTTAAAGTTTGAAGCACCATTTTAACGCTTTCGTAATTTTCTTTGAGCATTGCAGAATGAGCCAAAGGTAGTGATGGAAATTTATTTCCATTGTGAAGGAGGACTGCTTTTAAACTTTTTGTAGAGCTGTCGATGAAAAGACGCCACTCAGAAGAAACACAAGGGATTCCGATCGCATCAAATAAACCTTTCACGTCATTGCAATAACACAGTCCGTCTTTCTTTGTAAAAAATCCAGAAAATATTTCATGACGCTTTCTTTGATCACTTATATTAACATCCTGCTTGAGCAAATTCCACTGTTTTAGCCGTGAAGCTAATATTTCTGCTTTAATTTTAGGTAGGTTTAAGTCTCTTACTAAATCATTAAACTCTTCTGAATTAATAAGATGTGGTTCAACAGACACTGATTTGATTAAGAATTCGCTGCCTTCGCTACTACTACAATCTTGTGATAGCGGGAGCTCTTCCTTCAAATTGGAACGAGAAGGCACAGGAAAATGTTCACTGTGGGGTACCGGAGCGGTTGTTGATGGCAATTCTGGGTACTGAATCTTTTTGGCATTTTTGCCAGCCCGACGCTTACGTGGATTGACAAGACAAAAGTAGCAATCACTGATGTGATTAGTGGGCTCCCTCCATATTCTTGGTACTGCAAACTTCATACTTTTTTTTTCTCCTCGATACCAAGCTGAAAAAAAATAACATACATATAAACGTATATACATATACACACAGGTTATAACATATCGTACTTTTCTTGCGATTAGTATCCTTGAAAGTTATGATGTACTCTCTTACCTTCTAATGTGTTTTTGCAGTAACTACATGAGAATTTAGGTGCCCATATTTTATCTTGACTTCGAATGGGAAGATTAAAATAAGCTTCATAAGCTTCACAGAGTTTTACATTTGACGACAAACTGAATTTCATAGCTCTTACTTTAATGAATTCGCCGCAAATATAACAAAAAGAGTTAACGTCATTTTTACACTTTTTGGAAGCCATTTTAGATTTCGCGCCACACAAATAACGTCGTTTCTTGGTAATGCTCACGCGCATACTACCGAGACTACCTGCCGGTCCCCGCTTCACACCTGTAACCCCCCACCAACTCCGTCTCTAGCGTGTTAAAACCCTTGCACCTCAAACTGTCTGCCAAAATATTAAAATATTTATTTTTCATCGTAAATTGTACAAAAGCAAACTTTATTTGCAATGAACGAAGTTTCTGGTTACTTTTAGTTGTAAAAAATCAGAAAATATTAATTTAATAACAAACCCAAAAAAATTTTTTTTTTTTGTTGACTTGTGTTATATTCAATACAAACAAAGATTTGATTCATATTATTACCAAAAAATAGCAAACTTTCATAAATGTAACTCGTAAGTTTGTTAGAGTGTTTGAACTGAAAGCTATGTAAGTGATACATAATATATATTGTTTAAACTCTAAAAGGCTGATAACAATGTTACCGATATTGAAAAGCAGGTGGTTGAAAATATATTTATAATTATATTTTCCACTAAACACAAATTCAAAGGAATAATCAAAACCGCTCAATTTATTCCCTTTCAAATTGAAGGACATAATTCTTTTTGAAAATCTGTAGAACAAATTCTTTAATGCTCGAGTGATATTCCCCTTGTAAGTATCCTTGTATACAGAAGCATCAAATAGGTTCACATTCCCGATTCCAGCGGAGTGTTTGGCGGTATGCGAGCAGTTTACCCCCACATTTCGACGGTTCGCTGCCAGCCAAGATATGTCGCAATCCCATCCAATTTGCCTCCCTCTGCTTTTGCTGTTGTTGGAATAAAGCGAAAAATCTTTCCTCTTTCTAAGAATAATTTATATGCGATACGAGCGTAAAAAGCCGGAGAGGCTTTTAAGTTCTTTTTATAAATAAATGCGAGTGATTTAAAAAAAAAACGCACATTAATGGCAGCGCTCGTATGGTGTGATTTACCGTGAGTACACAAAGGAGTGCTAAAATAGCACCTTAAATTAAGCACTCAGTTGTTATGTAATAATTAATACAAGCATTGTTTTATTTACACGTGTTTGTGTATGAATATTTTGTTGATAGCTAAAACTGCATACGGTATTCTGTTTGAAATAAAAATTCAATTTTAAATTTGTGACGTTAAAATTTTAAAATATAAAACATATTTCAAAGTGAATGCGACGGTAGCGGACACGTAAAATATGACATTGGAAAGTGTAAATGAAAACAAGATTTAAATTTATTTTTATAAATCCCGAGTAAATTCGATTCAGGTACGAGCGGGCCTCACTAAAACAATTTTGATGACAGTTTACGAAGTTATATTGCCATTTTAATGGTGAGAATATTTCGGTATCCATTTTTGTATTTTTTGCAATGTTATTATTTTAATTTTGTTCAAATACAGAAACAATGAACGGTTTTGGAAAACAAAACGACTATATATTTACATTTCTGATGCATATTTCTTTTATACATATATTAAACGTTTCACTAATGTTTGATCTGTAGTGAGATGTGATATAAGTAATATATATTTATTATAAATAATACAAAGATGAATCTATAAAGTACATACAAATGTACTTCCGCATGAAATTGGTTGCGGTGAAGTGAACACGACTTGATTGCTTTCGACAGTGGCGCATCCTTATTGTGTTGTTGAACTGGCGAGTCGCCACAGACGGTAGCCCGGAATGTTTTTATACCACGCCCCGGGTTTATATTACAGTTTGACTGCGACCCCGTTTTACCTTATCGGGAATTTTAAGAACGTAACTCATATCCGTGTGTTCGGTAATATTTTATTGCAAAATTTTACTACATATCTTCATACATTGTGCCTGCTGTGTAATAAATAATTTAATGTTTATTATAGAATTTTTAACGATTTGTTTTTATGTTTCTATATATATTTTTCGTGTATTAAAATAAGCAAGAATATTAAAGTATTTATTTATAACCATTATGTTGTGAAATAATATGTAACGTTTTTATGGATTCTGAAGTAAATATTAATATGAAATAAAACAGACAAAAACATATTTGCTCGAGCAACCTTCAATTATCTATTATATTTTTAAATGGATTGCGTGACTTGACTTAATTACCGTTCCGTAGTGCATAAAATAAAGAAACACTATACAGATATATGTAAAATTACTATCAATATATATATATAATATCGGAAACTATTATCATTTTTAGATATAACGTTTAATAGGTAATATGTGATAGTAATATCAAACCGCAATGCAATGAAAATGTTAATTCAATCACAGTTCCATTAGTTCGGCTTTCCGCAGTGTAATATTAATCTCGGGGCGGTCTGTCGCGAAATTCCATTTAGTAGTGCCGCGAGCTAACGTCGAGCGCTGTTCACGTCGACGCCGTTCATGATTGATCCGATGTGATGTGATGCTCCCGGATTAAAGCATGCCTCGAATAACTTCACTGTTTGAATTCACGGAAATCCGATAGCTTTATTTCGATCGTATCTATTGCGAAACTGACGATAAACCTGTTACTAACTACCGTATGGAAAAAAAATACGAATAAAATGCTATACGACCGGTGTACTTGTTATTTTTAGGTCAAAGACTCCAGTGTCTATTTCAAAATTACATTTGTAATGTGTTTTATTATTTATGTTTATTTTTTCCTTCTAAACGAGTTCAGTCGAATTAATGTAAGTGGTTATATACGTATATTCGTAAATAATAAAATAAAACCATTAATAAGTTTCACACGATAAGTGAATAAATTTAAATATGTCTGCGATCGTCTCGCCATGCTGCTGTAATGAGAAGCGTGGTATCTCTGACAACTATCTATACTATCCCAACAAGGGAGTTGGTAGCGACTAGCGTGCCGCGACATAAATAAATTATGCAACGCGCCACTTACTGACACCACACCTTGCTTCACTGCCACTTGTCCTCCCGACGCTCTTGACTGCACAATGACGTATTTAACATATCAACAATATTAAATTAATCGCTTAAAATAACTTTCCTTAAACGCTGATTATCACTTTTTTTAGTTCCATTTATTTCAAACACGTCGGTAACTGATATAATCACTTGACATGCCAGCGATAAAGCACAGCCATTACATTTAAATGGCTTTTGAAAAATTATTGCTAAAGCGTGATGCAAATTAAATAAGAAATAGGTATATTGTAAGTCGAATATGTAAATACAAATTGTAGTTAATGCTTGAAATAAAAAACAAATCGTGTCATTTGAACACGAACCGTATTTATGTGACACGATAGAAGGTTTATTTATGAAAAAAATAATGTAATTGAATGATTTATCGCTTTGAGCACGTTTCGTTGCTATATGGAGTTCTCATGAATAAGTAATGTTGGGGCAGCGGTCGTTGTTTCAATTAGCGGTCGTGTCGTCGGCTGGGCATAGCCTCCCGCCACCCGCCTGCTTAACCAACCGGAATGCCATTTATAAACTGATTCACTTCCACCCCCAACTAAAACTTACAACGTAAACCCTTAACATTAACAAGCGTTATATTAGTTCACGCTTTATTAATAATTATATATAATATTATTTCAAACAATGCAGCAAACTCATCTAGTATCACACGTTTATATTTTTGTTATTATATTAACATAAAGTCCGGTCATAAGATATCATCAACTGTGTTTCTGTCTTGAGTCTTCGAGCCCGTCATTATCTGTCTGAACGGTAATAAGCGAAAGTAATTATGTGGTTAACATCCGGAGCTACAATCTGCGCAACACGATCCATTCCGGATTATTTGGATCTTACTTACACGAGATAGATTAAATTGATATACGTGGGACTTGTCTCGACTCGTTTATGTATGTAAGGGTCTCCAGTAAACCCTTATATTATTAGAATGGGGCTATAATCGCTTGCGTATGTTTTATTGTTGTTTGATGCGGCATCCGAATTTATTATGTCGCGCTGACTTCTTAAGATGACAATAACAAAGTCCCCCTTCATTCCTTTTGAATAAACAAAAATAATATTTGTATTCTGTTGGGGAAAGCGTACTTTATAAAATGATCTAATTTTGTTTGATATCAGAGCATTACATGAATAAATAACAGTAAAAAAACAAATATCATTTTATAAAGGTATCCAAAAAAGCTCACTAAATATGTTAATAAAGTAATTTTAAAACAGTATAAATAAAGATAATATATTTCGAAATCATAATAATAATGGTCGTAATTAATTCATAACTGTTAACTTTACATTACCTGAAACGATTCAGTAAACTTAATTGACAATAACAATTTTCTTGGTAACACAAAGAGCATAAATGCAAAAGGAGCGCAAAATCAAATTGCGGACTAACTTATCCTAAGTAATAAAAACATGGAAGTTCACTGAGTGAGGGCGGTCGGAGAGTTATCCATTTACAGAGAGTTAGTCCTTTTATTTTCTTTTATCCGTCCCGTCGAGCTCTCGTCGTTGGGCAGATTTGTTTCCCCCCCGACTTCTTCCTAACCCTCCCGTGAAAGAGACTCGTAATGTGATAAATGGAATGGTCTTTTTATTGTTAAGTCTCGGAACGTTATGGGTATAACCATTTTGGTCCCCGTCTTATCGAGTTTTCGTATAACGTTTCTATCGCTCAAATCCTGATGTATGTAAAGGACAGGACGGATTCTCGGTCCGATAGAGCGTTTGGATATTATGATGTATAGTATCTGACGCTGCCGTTTATAGTGGTATTTATGTATGCTCCTTCTGCAGGGTATAACGCTGCTCCAAGACGCTGGCACGTCGGATGATAGTGGCCGGGCATCAGAGCGGCTAACTGGCAGCTCGGTGGCGCCCCGAGACCCCGATTCTTCTCGCGACCGTCTTAGTGACGTACGTATATCCAACAAGTTACTCATGCGCTTCCAGAACGAGTTTGTCCACAGACAGATACAAGCTTTATCGATGTTTTTATGTGTATAATTATCGTGCATAGGTTTGTGTTCTTCATTTCTGTCGCCAAAGTCCATGTAGGTCTTGTTGTAATGTTATATTTTTTTTACTATACTCTGCGGCTGATGCTACTGTCCTATCTGGTTACGCTGTTCTTTGTTTGTGTTAGAAATGATTTAGTTATTATGTTATCCCATTATATGTTTTTTTTTATCACTAAACGAGTCTTATCCGCCTGTGGGTAAAGATAGCAAGTTTTTGTATGACAAATTCCACTTACACCTCCCCTTCTCTTTTCTCCCTGCAGGCCAGTAGCCGCTGTAGTTCCGGAAAAGGCTATATCGTAAGTATAAATATTGTTGTCTATGTCTAATGTTTAAACATTGGATTTTGCACCTTTCATGAGCTTAACCACTTCGCTTTTTCAACTTCTGGTTCACTGAGTAAGCATGCCACCTGTTTTTATATTTTTCAATTTCTTATTATCAATTTAACTCCGATACAGGTTTTTTTTGGTCATTGTCACGTCTCTATATTGACATTTTATAGCCGACAAATATTCTTAGTATAAATAAATTTGCCATCAAGACTGTTGTATAAAAAGCCGGATTCAATCGAAGTGAAGTCGTAAACACCATAACAGGGAGTTGTTCAAAGGTGAAAACCATAATTTTCGATTACTGTGTGCAAATTTACCCCGATCACGCAACACGTTCCTTGTTCGATATTCGGCTCGTATAGCAACTAAATCAGGAGCTCTGTCGAAGCGGTACCGATGCCTATATAACTCACCAACGCTATGAATACTACATGCCGGGTTTTTTTTTCATTCATTTCGAATCGGTTATATCGATTGTACTTTACGATTTTTATTATATTACCTTCTGAATTTAAAATTAATATATGTAGTACTATTTTCATATTCAAGTGTTAGATTTCGTATATTATTAATAGCTGTATTAGTCTTAATCGTTTTATAATAAGACTAATATAAACAATCTCTGGTAATAATTTTGGTATGTAATTCTATGTTAATGTAACACCGATGTGTACCGGGATATGCAAATGAGTATACATTGATTATAACGCAGAGGTAGGCGTAGCTTTAATACAGCCACGAATGACGAGTAATTAGTGTTGATCTATGAGCTATGAGTCATGTTATAAATTGAAAGTTTGATTAGTTATTTAGAAGCATGTTTGGCTTTAACTAAATTTAATACAAGCATGATATTGAAATGTTTTTATTATGATGTCTCTTTAACTGTGTTTATTCTCTTTTACAGTGTGATAGTGAAGGCGACGATGACAAGGCAAGTATTGTTTTTATTAAAATTATTATAATATTTAAAATATACACATACGAATAGATTAATTAAAGTCGCGTCTAACTCGTCTCGAAACTGCGAAAGTTGAAACAACGTTGCAAATAAATGTCCGTGTAATGTAAGTGGCGAAGTTGTACGTTTCAGGGTTTATTACGAGCGAACACACTCGTACAAAGTGATTAATCTCACGGGAGTAGACGACTCAAGTACCTGTTTACGAATTGTTTAGCAGCTATCTATAATTTAATTGGATTTTTTCTTTATCAAAAAACCGTTTCAAATATTTCAATAATACTATATATATTAATTTACATGTAGATAGTCTGTTTGTAACGTGTAGTTGAAGGGTTGTAGTGAGTTTCGCTTTGTGCGGACTCTACAGTGTAGGAGCTTAACTAACCCGTCAACAGGTTGTGAAATGCGAGTCAAAAGAGTTAAACGTGGAACGCTTTACGGCGTGTCGACGTAGCAAAGGGCGCTGATTACGCGCCGTCGCTGTTTTGTAATTACAAGATTGGCGCAGTCGCGAAGTGCCCGTAATTAAGTACGTTGAATTACGCCTTCTGCATCGGCTCTGAAACATTCGCTATATAAAATATATGTAAAAAAATTACGCCTAAATCTCGCTTTTAACTAAATTCCCATTCATATTAATATTAAACAACTTCTTAGTTTTTTATTACACATAATAAAAGCAAAATTTTAAACTCTAATCACTATATACAATTAGGTGCGGCGTCTATTCAAACCTTTAGATTAATATCATTGTTCTGAAGCGCCGGCAATTCGGACTGAACCACGTTCCACTTAATCTAATTACGTCTGCCCGCTTCGCTGCCTCCGTACGTACAACCCTTTGTATTAACGAGCATTTCAGTTTGACTTGTAACGAATATTACTTACATATTAAACATTAATAACCATCATACCACTCGAATTATAAAACTATTGTCCAATATCATATCTAATAACAGATAAGTGGCAATTAAAATTAATATGACCACTTGATAGTTTACAAGCCAGGTACAATCGCGGTGTTTATTATATACGTTCGAGTTATAATAATATTTCAACATCATAAAACGGTGAATAATAAATCACAAACAGCACTTTACTATATAAATTTCTATGATATACATTTATTTGTTTATGAATGTACTCATAAAAGTACAATGCCATGACTAAAGCAATTACAACCAATTGTTGACTACAAAGTAGAAATGTAATTTAGCGGGTAAATTTTACATTAAAATATTTACTGTCATTATTATTATTACAGTGTCAACAATTTAATATATTATATACAGCGTGGAAAACGTTTTTACTAACAAATCATTTATGCTGACATTTATAAACGTCGTATTAGTAATTTGATTTGTAATCACCATATATATCTAGAGGATTAACTCAATAAATGATTTAACATAAACAACATAACGTATCTCGATAATAAGCCGATGGATTAATTATAATTTAGATTCCACTATATTAAATATCTTCGATAGATATTCCAAGTGTTCATAGTTGTCCGGAGTAATTGAATTGTGAGTTGAGTGGCACAATAATTCCAGTTAATGGATAGCCGAGAAGGAAATCACTATCGGCTATACGGCCGTGTCGATTAATTTAACTATCCCAAGAGTATTTGCTTGTTGAGGTTTAATCATTCATAACATTGTATATTGTTTGAATTTTGTAATGATTTATTCTATAAAATATAAATGACATTCAGTATAACAGCGTAGCGATAAAGATATATCAATCGCTCGCCATTGAAGTAAATAGCTGAATAATTTCCGATCGGTCCTCGAAGCGTTCCTTTTATCGAGTAATCTCATCCTGATCCTCAAGTGGTCGGTTCACGTGGCCGGTTTATGCGATGAGTCCCCAGCGAGGTAGCATTTATAGTGCTGGCTACACTTAGCCGAAGTGCACCACTAACTCGATCCGATTCAACTCGGCTATTTACGCGGGCTGAGGGGGGGGGGGGGGGGGGGGTTCAATTATGCTCCCACTTTGATATGCAAATCCGTTCGCGTTTGGGTAATTACGTAGACGCTTTCCAGGTTCCGTTGCAAACGTCAGTTTGAGCTTTACATTAATTTATTTGACTTGCCGTACGTTGCAGAACTCCTGCCACGCTATATAGCAAGACTTCGGCATTTAGGTTTATTATGATGTTAACAAGATGTGTGAATTACAAATGGCCGATGAATCTTCAATGTTTACTGCGTTGTTCATTTTCTCTATTGTGTCGTGAGTTCTTGTTTTTATTGCTAAGTTTTATTGGTGTATTTGAGACTGGCATAACAGACAGTTTGAATAATTATGCAAAAATTTATTACTACATTCGTATTTAATGTGATGTCGGTAATCAAAAAAGGTTCGTTGTTTTTATTGTAGTATCTTTTTTTTATTTTATTTATAGCAACATAATTATATCACTGTATTTATAGAAAATTGCTATTCATCTATTCTATATTCTGTAATCGTATGCCATTATGCATAATTACATTATAAAATTCTATTATAAATTCAAATGAAAACTTAGTTAATGAATATGCATAAATTTAGACTTGAATGTTTCACAAAACAGAGAATAAATTTTCGCATTTTGCTATGAAAACGACAAATTATGGACTAGCATTAAATTAAAAACTTTATAGCTATTAACAAAACATCTGTTGAATTTATTTGTAATATCTGTTATTGGAGTGTAATAAAATAAACGAACCAGTCACGTTATACGAAATATTAATTAAATGGTATCCAACAACTCTGATTTGTGTTCTGTTATTCGAGCTGAAAGCTCTGTAAATTGGTTGAACAAACTAGCCACAGTCAGGAATATCTCGTGTATTAGCTTAACAGAAACGGTAGAACTACTAACAACTGTCGAACATTAACTATATTGCTGGCTTAACAAAACAGTTTCAGACTAAATACGGATTCATTGTATCGCTTTCTATCTTATTGAAAATGAAGATCACAATATCCGAGATTGGATCTTAATCAACTGATAGCTTCCTACTAACTTAATAGAACAAAAAGAACAACTTAACTTGGAAATCGACCGTATTGTGCGGCTTCCCTTTACAGATAGTCTTGGTACCTTTGTAATAATTAATTGGTTCTTCATCGTGAATTTTTTATTATATAATTCAAGAAATTTATGTGATAGTCTTTTGTGATTATTATATCCACTTGATATTGGATTGTGAGATTATTATAAAGGATTATGTTACATAGAATTCGTATATAAAAATAAATGGTAATATAAATCATCACATACTATTACAGTATGAAATTTCTCTCAAGATATAACTTTTCCAGACATCTCTGGTATAACAGGAATAAGTAATTGCAGGAAGTGGGCTTTTGCTAACTTTATTAGTTTAACAAGGAAATAAACTATGACCGTAAAACCAATTATTTACTAGAACATTTTGTAACTGATTTTATTACTCTAGAGGAAAATACAAATTTAATGCAAAATATATTTTCCCGCAACCCAAAAATCTTAATAATCTATTTTATTATACAAACTATTAATTATTAACATATTCGAAGACACATAAATCACTCGAATGTATCTATTATCATAAAACACTTGTATTGTTAGTGAAACATTGTTTCTGCCAGCCGTAATCCTTGCAAAGGGGGAGATAAACCAAATCTTATATTCAGCAGATCTGTTAAATCATTCATCAGGTACCATATCACTTCTGGTCGATTAGTCCGGGGGTTTTGAGGTGAACACAATCTGCGCAGGGTCGGCGGGCGTAGGGCGGCGCATTAATAAGAACATGAATAGGGCCAGATCTCTATTCTGCTCTCACACGACCTATATTATTTACATATCTGGTTTTCAATACCAAGAGAATGAAGATATTTTATTTAGATATCAATTTGTCACAACTTGAAGCTGTAAAGAAATAATGGAAAGTAAACAACATTTTAAAGTGATATTGAGGAAAGAAATATCTTCAAAGTTGGTTGTAGCGGGCGCCTCTTGGCAGGATTTACCTTGTGCAAACCTGCCTCGGTTAATTGAAAGAGCTTCTTTCATTTAGTGTAATATTTTATGGCAAGGAGTCTGGCGCGCTGCGGTGGGAGTTTGTGGTTTCACTTCAATTCGCCAATCTCCCTTTAGTGCTCTCTCGACCAACTGCCGTTTAAGATTCTTTGTAATATGCCTGGCAATAAGAAAATAATTTAATCTCCTGATATTTAGATTCTGAATAGATATGTCCTTTTAACTTTTTTAATTCAAATGACGTTTATATTTTCATAGCTTTTTCACGGTCTTTTATTTTTATTGAACTTATTCCAAGTCATTCTTTCTGTTAATAAATGATCTTAATACTATAATTGTGAAAGAAAGTGATGAAGCCGTGTTATAATTAACGCCATAGACGGAGGGTTGATTCTGCGGCCTACCAATATGATCTGCAATAAATCGCTCTCTCAAATGACTGTACGGAGTCTGCTTCACGCTAGATAAGGGTCATCGCGACCGTATCAACACTTGTGATACATTGTCACACTAATAACAACCACATAAACCTCACATGACATCCATCAAAGTTTTACGACACTACGCACCTATTTTCGTTATCACCCTCGCAACAATTTCGTACTCATATTCATCCACCATTCACAAGATATAAAATGTTCAAGTAATAACTTAAATAAAATTATAACAAACTATGTACATAACTGCGTGATTAACATAATGTTTCTGAAATGTTCCACTTTTGTCTTGTAAACGAGCATAAAGTGAAAGAACAAATTGCGAGTTTCCCCAGTATTTTCCTCGCTCGGAAAAATATATGTTTTATTAAAGCTCGGCATTTCCGAGAGCGAGTCAACCCTCCGGGCGGTGGTGGTGGTGTTGGAAGGGGGCGGGGGTGGTGGGAGATGGTATGAGGGCGCGCGCCACTCTATAACAGACACTGGAAGGATATAAAACATATTTACGCGCC